TGAATTCCCTTTGGTTTCTCTTATTTTCTTCTCATTTGATAGGCCTGAACTATTAGTAATCAGAGTCAATCAAATCTTTTTAACCCAAAGGTAAATGGCACGGACATGAAGCGTTGGAATGGTATGGTAGGGGAAGTGATTGATGGTAAAGCTGATCTTATTGTGGCCGCATTGACAATCAATAATGAAAGAGCAGAGTGGATTGAGTTTTCCAAACCGTTTAAGTACCAAGGACTTACAATACTTGTCAGAAAGGTAAGATCTTATTTTTGTGGTTTATGGCTTTCTTGGATAATCTCCAGCGTTTAAGGTAGGTAGTCAGTCAGTTGGTTGTTCAGTGAGTTTCTCAGTTCACAGGTCATCTTGTCCAGTCATCCTTTCGGCACTCAGTCCGTTAGTTAACCCCAGTCCGGTAGATTGTCAGCTCGTCTGTCTGTCATCGTCTAACTGCTCTTCTGCACGTCCGCATCGCTGCGCGTCCGCACGTCTGCACATTTGTACGTTCGCCCCTCGTCCGTTACGTTTGTTTGTTGTTCCATTTGTCCGCATATATAAATACATACCGGTACTACCGTTACGTCAGCACCCGTCCCGTCTCGTCTCCTTTCTTCGCAATGTCAGCCTGTCGTCCGTCTCCTCCACCATCTTTATTCTGTTGGGCAGCACGTTCATCGTTGTATTTGTCGAAATGTTGTTCATTCTGCCTACCACAGAAGATCCAGTTGTGAGTTCCTTAGTGAGATAGTCAGTCACCACTTTAGTTACCAATGCGCAGTTTGTGTAGCAGGTGTGTAATCCACTTTAGTTATTCACTGAATGAATTACGTTCAAGTCTCAGCGCACTGCAGTACCTTGATACTAAACAGTGTCACGTCTCATTCTTCGCAGGATCAAAGTAGAAACAGCCTGGATTCATTTTTGCGACCTTTCCAGATAAACTTGTGGCTGTTAGTTCTACTCTCAGTGCACATAGTGGCAGTTATACTGTACCTGCTAGACCGGTTTAGCCCGTTTGGCCGGTTTAAACTGGCTCGGAAAGAAAAGGAGGAGACGGCTCTTAATTTGTCCAGTGCTATGTGGTTTTCATGGGGAGTGCTGCTAAACAGTGGTATCGGAGAAGGTTAGTTATCGACTCGCATATGGTAGAGAATTTTACAGTTATTTTCTATGGAGCGTTGAAAATAATCACACGTAATTGTATTGACTTTCGTTGTATGCTCTCTTGGGCCACCTTGCTTACCAATCAAAACTAAAAATTTTCTTAAAAATCGGGAGTTGGTCACTCAACTTGTGATAATTATTCGAGAAGCGCTCGGGGTATTTGCATAGTTATGTCACGTTTGCTTACAAACATATATGTGTCAGTTTCATTATCAGTGCGTCGATTTTAACTCATTTCAGTCCAGCAGGCTGATTATATCTTACTTATCAACGTTTCGTCTGCTTTATTTTAGGTACTCCGCGTAGTTTCAGTGCTCGGGTGCTGGGCATGGTATGGGCAGGCTTTGCCATGATCATTGTCGCCAGCTACACTGCTAATCTGGCAGCCTTTCTTGTTCTTGATCGACCAAAGGCTGTGGTCAGCGGCATAGAAGATCCGCATGTGAGTAAAAGTACAGACGTTACACCTCGCACCAACATTGGAGCTTGAGGCGAGGTCACAAGTTATTGTTATTGAACTTGTATGTGTACCTGAAATCCCTTTTACTTCCGCCCCCCCGAAGTGTTGTAGGGTTGAAAAAAAAACTGATGAATTACTTTAAGTATTAGAATTATAAGACTGGAAAGACACATAAGGAGTGTCTCAAGATATGCTGTCCAAGAAACCCATACTTTACTCTACAGTTGGTTTGGGGCAAACAACGAGAAGTGTAAAAATATGCAGTTAACGAAACCACGAGAAGAAATACAGCAAATAATCGTGAAGACTTGCATCGTTTCATGTTCATTTCTTTCCACTCAGCTGCGTAATCCTTCGGTGAATTTCAAGTACGCTACAGTAGCAAACAGCAGTGTTGACGCGTATTTCAGGCGGCAGGTTGAGCTGTCATCCATGTACACCTTTATGGAAAAATACAATGTAAAGACAGCTAAGGAAGCCATACAGAAAGTGAACGACGGGTAAGTGTGCTTCATCAAATGTATTTATTGTCGTGAGAAATTGTGCAACATTTGTTTTTGAATGTTAGGGATATTCAATTTAAAAAGTCAATCCAAGTCGTTCTAACAACAGTCAACTAGTCTCAGAGTGCAAACAATAGATATTTGAGCGAGGGGCACTTGTGTGTATGTCTATTGGCCACTTTTTTTTTTTCGCAACATTGTGACACGACATCATACTTAGGTTATAGGAATCGTAACTATTGTAGTTTACCTTCGTAGATCAGCACCTAGATCAGAAACTAGAAACACGATTGTGGGGGCTATTGACTCTTCGTTACACTTAATCCATTTGTCGTGGAATTTGAATAGCTATGTCATTTACCTCAATGCAGGGAATTAAAGGCGTTCATTTGGGACTCGCCTGTCCTTTATTACGAAGCCTCTGTAAACTGTGAGCTTACTACTGCTGGTGAACTGTTTGGGCGGTCTGGTTATGGCGTTGGTATGCCTAAAGTGAGTGTTACGTACTGTATGTTGAAATTTCTTTCCCGTCTTGGTTATCGAACCCTTAAACTGTTTTATCGTGATATAAACATGCCAAGGTGCGTATATTGGTTTCCTGTTTGAATGGAACGAGGACAAACAAGCATGCTACTTTGTAGGATATTCAGTTCATGAAATTTTCGATTGAGTGTTGTAAAAACCACAACCACAACAACAACGAAACCGAAAAATCATCTACAATACGAGTTCAGAGAGACCCTTTGAGAACCCAAATCAGACAGGGGTAACCAAGAAGCAATAGCGCTGCGTTTGCATCTGATCAATTGAGAGTGTTGCGAGTTTTCAAGATTGATAACAGGGTAGATTGAAGAAAAAGTAAAGTACAAAATATAATCGTCAGCGGGGCTGTGAATCAATACTTTCGGTGTCGGGTGGTTGCCATTGAGATAGACATGCAGTCTTCGTTTAAGTAGTTTTCAATTGAGGAGCTTTTACAAAGATTCGTTCATCCTTCTCTTATTTCTTTCACGAGGGTTCTCCGTGGAGTAACGAAATTTCTCTTGCTATCCTAAACTTTCACGAGAGCGGGGTTATGGAGGAATTGGAAACGACGTGGATCGACACCAAGCAATGCGATGAACAGAATAATTCGCCCGCTACGTTAGGGTTAAATCACATGCTTGGTAAGTATGCTTTTAAACTGAAGCCGTCGGTTAAATTTATAATAGAAAAGTTTTTGTTCTCTGTTTGAAAGTATTAACGTTTGAGCTTTTGCTGGTGACATGGAGTGGTAAGACAATTCGAACTTGTAATTTTTACGATAAGCATACTTTTCCATCCGTTATCATCATAAGTATGGTAGTGTTAAGCGTTTTAGTTTTGTCTAATTGAGGTGTTTTGGCCGAAAAAAAAAAAAAAAGAAGCGGCCACTTGGAAGGTCTAGGATTCCAGTACTGAGTAGGATAATGCTATTCGTAGTGCCATTAGTACCCAGATCATAGATATATCATGTAGAGTTTTAGTGGACTATGATTAAAACTTCAGATTTCTGTTGGTTGGCAGGTGTCTTTATCATGGTTGCTGCCGGAATAGGAGCTGGAATCGTGATCATTATCTTAGAAATCCTTTACCACAAGCACCGTGGGTGGAAAGAAGAACAGAAAGAACTGGCTAAGAAGACAACAGATAAATGGCGGGCTAATATCATGATGATGAAGAAGGAGCGCACCTCAAATGGCCAACAACCTAATGGTGTTCTCGACTCACATGGCCCACAGAACGACGGGATAGCTCGTAGAAACCCAATTTACAACCCGGAAAATCACGTTGACAGCACGTTTACGTATAATTGAGCAGACGTGCACTTTGCAAGTGGGATTTCTTATGTGTAGAACACAAAATGACATGCGCAATCGTCGTTGTTGAAAAGATGAAAAATGTAATACTAACCATGTACCAATTGCTTTGAAATTAGGAAAAAAATTAGAATCACGAAACTGTATATAATTAATGTTGTAGTTCAATGAAAAATCTACAGTCCATATATATCAGAGTTCCTATGACATCCAACTAGTCTCAATTGGCACTTGACAACAATTCGAGGGAAGGGTTCAAAATGAATTTAAATGGGGTTGCTCTTCAGAGCAATTAAGTTGTTATTAAGGCTCCTATGTAATGCCCAACACAGGTTTTGTTGGCTTTTTTGGAGCAACTTCCTACTCAAAGCTGTTGTTGACACTTTTATATTTATATATCTGCCTTTGGTATCAATTGTTTATATTGATACTTATTGGCCTGCTCCAGAAGGCAGTATTGCACACTTTTAAAGCACTGGTGGTATATGTCTATACTTTCTATTCATAAGATGGAAAGACTCACAATGTGCTGTTTGTAAATAATATTTATTCAATAGTAATGAGTCCCACACCACAGGACTACAGACAAGCATGATCATAGGTAAAGATCTCTTACGATAAGATTATGGGGAAAATATTTAATAATGTATGAAACAATGATAACCTATAGATGAACGTCAGAGAAATATACGTAATTAAATTGATTGTTGGTAGGATGAGCAGAAATAGAGGGTGTATTATGATTGTTTTATTTAGCTCTCTTAGCCATAACGTATGATTAGGACCTAGGTAACCTTATAAAAGAAGCAGAAAATTCGAAACGACTTGCTAAACCAGGAAGGTACGCAACAGGCAAAACTACTAAACCAGTAAGATACGATACAGCTTCGGTCTCCAAACATACCTGCTACGTCGGAATGGAACATGAGTTTTATGAACAAGTAAAGAACGATAGTAATAAAAGTCTTTACCTTTCCAGAAAGATCTGCGGGTGTTAAAATCGAAACTATGTTTCTACAGTCTAATATGTGGCTCTATTAGGGTAATATGTGTCATAATTTGAACCTTTTAACTCATTATTGTCAAGTTTACAATTGTTGTCTCAAAGCGAATGAGAGTTGAACCATTTATTTAATGATGCTGATCTATTTATTATTTATTATACATTCATGGTGAAGTTAAATTGCCTAGTTAAATGATTCGAACAGGTAATGCTTTGTTTGTAGAAATGCATCCATCTGTGTAAATAATACAAACTATAAATTCTAACAGTGTCAGCAAATTTAATTGATCTGCGTCAATTTTATTATTTAGTGTGGCTACCGCACAGCATAACTAAACCGAATCGATAGAATAATGCAATGAGAGAATTTTTTTTTTTTCTTTTTTTGGGGGGGGGGAGTTTACAGGCATTGTTATCGTGATATGTTTATTTCCATACATGGTAAACTGTTTGCCCTTTTTTAATGATCCATGATTGTGTTTGTGACACTTGCAGACGTGATAAACACGTAACTACACCTTACACTGGCACATAACTTATCGAAACTCTGGGAGTACTTAGTGGGACGCAAAGAGGGCGAAAATAGCCAGTTTTACCTTGGTCTTAAAACCAAATTCTTTAAACTGATGTACAAAAACAATATATAGCCGCCAGAGGGGGTTATTTCTAATCAAGTCTTTAAGAGTTAAATAATTTGAAATACTTTATGCCAGTCATCCAGCAACGGCATGCGCAGTCTGCAACTTACTTTTAAGGTCTATGAGACAAATCGGACTTGGCAGAGACCGCTGATCCGGGTCGCTAAAACGAAAAAAATCAACAGCTTGAAATCCAATGTAGAGCTGCGAGATCTGTGCACTCTTACTGAGGGCATTTACTACCAGTGAGAATTAGGATTACGCAGAAATAAAACAAGATATCGTAGAATTTAAATTTTGTTTTCCAAACAAGCAATTTTACCAAGATGAATGGAATAGGAGAAAAAATTATGGCAACATCGGTTTCTTGTGAAGGGGGAGAAATAGTTGTAGAAATAGCACGTTTCTAGTGCCATTTGATAAGCGTATTCAGAATGTTGTTAAGTTTAGTCAACGAATTGGTTTAATGCTATCAGTTGATTAGGTGAAAGGTTCAACTTCTCATTGTCAGAGTTCTCCTGAAAGGGACCCATTTTCTGTTTTAAGATTAGCCTTTTATCGCCGCCTTGCTCAGTGAATATCGGTTTCATTGCAAACAGTTTCATATCATCGTGAAAAGCTGTGTAGCTGACTTGGCTCACGCTATGCACTCAGTATTGGTCTTATTGTACTTTGTGAAATTATTCAGTTTATCGTCATTTACCCCGATGTCGTTTCCAGTGGAGAGGGTTTCTTTGGAGATGTCATTGTAGTTTTGTGGAGTCATTGAATGTGTTTGGAAAGCGTCATGCGACTCTGACCATATTTTCTTTTTCCTTTGAAAGGCTCTTCTCACCTACAATAAGCAATAGAACATAACATCCCTATCTTAATTTTGATCTTTTGTGAAGTATTACCGATGGTTTATCAAAATCTCTACTACTTCATTTAGAAGGCATACTCACCTCGGAGTTCAGAAGACAATGAAACAAAAAGATAAAAAATCCCTGGAAAAGTGAAAAAAAAGTTAATTTCAGTTGCGTCGATAAAATTGAATTTAGGCCCTGTGAGTGTTTAGGCATGGGGTAATATAAACATAATCAATCAAAAGTAATTTAAGGAGAAAGAACGATGTCAGCCTGAGATCTTGATAAGGCAGTTTTATGGCTATATGTAAACCTTGTGATGAGTTAGAATATCGTAGATTTGCATGTGAAGTTTGCAGAATACAGTAAACACCCGAAAATAAGAACCTTATTTTTTGGCAGTCTGGCAAAAAGAGGTTCTTGTTTAAAGGGGTAGTTGTTGGTAATTTTGGCAAAACAGGTTCTTAATTAGGTTCTTAACGGCTAAGAGGGGGATACAGTTGTCATTGTTCTGCATATATATCAAGAATAATAAATAAGCTTTATACGGGCTAAAATTATATATAATACTGTATAACTGTAACTTTCAACTTCTGCAACAAGTAAATAAACAACTCAACAATATATTCGGCATTTTTTGTAATTATCTTCTATTTCTTTTACACACACCAATAAATTGTGTCAGTAACTTGTGGTTTGTTTATCCTGTAATTTAGCTGTAACCCATATTATAAGAACCTACTTGATCATGTTTGGCTAAACAGGTTATTTAAAGGGGTATTGAAATGGCAAATTTCTACCAAGAGGTTCTTAATCCACTAGGTTCTTATTTTCGGGTGTTTACTGTACCATAGGTTGAAAAATAAGTTATTACGGCTTCGTCAAGTTTCGTCCACTTCATAGTTTGTTTCGAAAAAAGTTTTCCATTTGCTTTCTTTTTTTAAAAGGCAGTCTTGCGTGTTCTGTTCGTTTTTGCATCCGAGCTCTTCTAAAAAGCATGTCTCTGTATTTGGCATTAAATGATGAAATAAAACTTGTTACAAACCTGTATCGAGTTAAAAATGGCGAATAGATACTGAAAGACCAAAGTGTTGCTGTTGAATGTCAATACTCCAAATAACCAAGTAATCCCCAACAAAGGTAGGAGTACAATGGCTGACTGAACACCTGACCTGTTACGATAAAATTGGGGTGCTTAGATCTGATGTTAGATTGCGACCTCACTATTTCCATATTTTTGCGTTGTCCCAGACTCGTACACAGTCGCTTCTTCTTATTCGCGAAGTGATCGATGAAAAGGATTTAGTGGGCTCGCGTTGTATCAAGCGCCTTGATACAATTAAAAAGGAACGAGGTAGTAGACTAAGTGAAGAAGAAAAGGTTTCTGATATTGATTTTTTATCTGTCAACGAACCTGATACCTGACGCGTGATGGTGGAGATTACCTGACGTAGTCTCTTTTTAATTTAAAGTATCAGGAAACTGAAAAATTTCCTGTCGTGTCAGTTAAAGTGCGTTCATCTCACCTTGCAGACTGATATTTTGCGCCATTTTCTGTCGTTGGATGATTCAACCTGAGAATCTCCTTAACAACCATCCCAAGTACGATCGAATTTGCCTACGGAAACAAAGATATAAGAGTAAGCCCGTCATATTACTATATGCCAAAAGAATCGGAGAATAGTGAATTAGAAATTTTCATACCAAAGCAATAAGGATAACAGGTACGACGAAACTCCAAATGGTTCCTTTCTGAACAGATAACCAGCAACTGGAAAAAGAGGATAGAAATTAATTGAGAAAAGAGATACACAGAGAGTGACTAATTTGGCAAACAAACACGATAGCTGGTGTGAACTTTTTACTTCAAAAGTACCGTATTTAGAGCATGATTGTTTTGCTAATTGGCGCTAGTGTGAGATTAGGTACATGGATATAAGGTTTATTGTGTCAATTTGTCGTCTTTCTGCTCATTCAAACGGCGTGGTGGTTATTTCCGAAGTTGATTGATAAATAGATGAAAGCTCTCTCACCTTCTTTCTGTACCGTATCCGTCGAAACTTGCAGATAATGTGATCACGACGAATACAAATGGAAATCCTATTCAAAATCAGTTCAAAGCTTAGTTGAACAGGTTATCGACTTCATTTCATAGATCGCTCAGTTTTCTCAAGAGAATATATATTTAATATATAAACGTGGAATAATTTGGGTGGCCATATATATATAAGTGAAGATAAAGAGGTTTGATGACTACATTCTAATCATCCAGGGGAAAAATGGCAGCGGTAAAAAAGAAAAAGAATGAAATAGTTTTTAGCGAGAGATAAAGAAAGCCTAAAGAAGGATGAGGCGAGCGGTTTATATATAAACAATGGTTGACCTACCCCATGCGCAAGCGCAGTACTTCTTTATTCTGCTGTGTCCTGTCTCAAACACTCTTACTATCATCAGGTAGAGCCAAACCCCCTCGACCAACATCCAGCAGAACGAGACAAGGTTGAAATAATGAAGAAGGACGGCCACGATCTTGCAAGCTGCCTAATACGCAGTTATGAAAATTATGTTAGGTTTAGATCGGTAGCGTGAATAATGAGATAATCAGTGCTGAATAGGAAATCGGAGTGCAATGGAGCACAGCTCCTTCTTTAATTACTTCGCATTCGTTGTCTCAAATTTTTGTTTTCTTAAATTTCCTCCGTTTTCTTGTCATCCTGTAAGATGGCAAGACGTTATGGAGATCATTAAGCATCTTATTAAGAACACCAACATCGGTATCACCTTGTTCTGTGTGGCCTCGATCCCGGTCAGGAAAGTGATCTGAGCAACTGCCAGCGCTGCGACAAGGTTCAGATGAATTATGCTTGTTTCGGATTTAGTCAACCTGACAAAAAATGTACAACAGTCAAATAATTTGTCATCTCGCCAGAATATTACGAGGTGCCAAAATTTTTTCGAAAGTTAGAATTCTGCCACGGAACACAAAGTGAAAAGCACTATTCTTCGAATAAATTATGTACGTTGCACAAATATCAAACAATTTACTCACTTGAGACACATGATTGCAACAAAAGTAAGAATTTCTCCTAAAAGCGATAGACCACAACCAATATATGTGATGAGCTGCAAGGCTTGAACATGAGGCTGACCTGGCTGGGTTACCTGTGCAAGTACACGCCGTTGAGTACTTTATTTAGATACATTTGGTAAAATTGTCTTTTTTTTTTTTTTTTTTTTTTTAAGAAGTTGCGATCGATTTGAGAAAATAAGCATTCAAGTTGCAAGCAAACAACCGACAGAAGAGAGACACAACAACAATCTTTATTTGTACTCCCCTTGCCTGTGTCAAGTTAAAAAAAAACAAAACAAAAAAACAATTATAACACGGGCACAGACGCACAGAGATCTAGAATTACTGACAAGCAAACAAAAAGACACTGACTAAAAGACAGACAGACATGCTAACTGACCAATGGAATGACTGGCTGACTCACTGACTGAATGAATCGATAAATGAATGAAACAGCGAGTAAGCGAGTAAATGGACGACTGTGAAGTAAATTAAATTAAATTGGCTGAAATGTTAAGTCTTAGTAAGCATTTAAAGCAGTAGCATTCACTTGATTCACTAGAGAACTCTCTCGACAACCTGTACTCTACGAAGCACAGTTGGATAGGTTATTTACCTCTGTATCATCAGTAACTCTCATAAGTATACCAAAGTGAGTGAGGTGGTGACAGTGACACACTGTGGCTGCAGCGTTTGAAAGCTCCTCGTCCTTGTTGCATCCATCAGTCGACCAGTAGCCCGATGACTTACCCGCGTTTCCCTCCGGAAATCTCCAAAAAGCGCACTCCATAGACATGTACTCCAAGCTTTTGAACTTGTATGATAAAAACGAGATTGTAATAATAAGTCTTCTGGTGGATGTTTCGTGAGTCTCCTCTCTCTTACGTGTTAGCTGTGGCAACTCTCTCTCGTTTCAAACTTTTTTACCAAAATCAGTTCCTAATAATTGTACTTATTATCCTGCTAACTTCTTGAAAAGACCGTGATCAAATCAAATCAATCAATTTATTATGTGCATGCATAAAAGGAAGCGTCGAAGGTTATCCCTATCGAGGACGCTCCCTACATAAAATATAAAATATAAAATATATATACTACAATGTAAAATCTAAGAGTCATTAAGAAATAGGTAAAAGATATATATATATATATATATATAGAAAGTTTAAAAAATGATTATTATTATTATTATTATCGTTATTATTAAATTTAAATTTATACCGCGCAGTTTTTATAAAAATATTCAACTGCGCCAAAAAAAATTGCGAGGATGGACAACTCCTGACGTAAAAAATATAAAAAATTTTAATAAAAAACGTTTCGGTCAGAGACCGTCTTCAGTTATTTACAACTTTTGAAATAAAAAAAGAGAATTAAATAGGATCGAAGTGGTAATGATTACGTAATTACAGATAAAGACTAATGAACTGGTGCTAATAAACAAAAAACCTAATTACAAAGAAAGTAATGTACAAAATACAAGAAACAAACCCTAAAAACTAAGAGATAAGAATACTAAATATGTTAATATGAGTGGGGTATGTATATATATATGTAGATATATACATATTTTACGAAATTTTACAATACTTTCTAAGTTCACTACGAAAAATGTTAAAATCCTGTTTGTGCACTATCTCTTTAGGAAGAGCATTCTACTGTTTTATAATTCTAACAAAGAATGAGTGCAAAAAAACAATTTACTCTAGCTAATGGCTGTCTTAATTTAAATAAATGGTTTGATCTTGTTTTACCATAACTATTAAATTTAAAATAATCATTACAGTTGAGGCCATTAAGACCATGAATAGTCTTCTAGCACTCTAGCAAGGATAGATAAAATCTCCTTGACTGAAGACTGGACCACCCAAGCATTGCTAGTCTTTCTTCGTACGGCGAGTCCCTAGATGACATCGGGAGAGCGTATTTCGAGACGTGAATTAATAACTAGTTAAATTTGCCGGATTATTTCGTCAATGATCTATGATTTTAATTTCTTGGTTATTGGTCGCTCACCTTACATAATCACTCAGTTACAGTGGTCTATTTGTTTTGATATTAAGCTCATAGGTATATTGATACTTTTTTTAAACAGAAAACGTAGATAAATTAAGTCACAGCTTATCAGTATAAGTCTTAGCTTTTAAGCTTCACACGGACTGGAATCAGGGATTGGTAATGTACAGTATCGACAGAAGTGTTCATGAAAAATACTTCTAATAAGCTAAAAATATCTACCTGTGTGTGTTCCAATCGAATGGTAACTTGGCCAGTGAACGACTTTTCTGAATCATGAACTACTGATCCTGATATGATTTTGCTGTTCAAAAAGTAAGGCACTTGCTGGCTGGATTCATTGCTGTCGCAAGAAAAATTTCAATGATGCTTACATCTGACTCATTTGAAAACTTAAAAACGGAAGGGACCTACATTGTACTTCCCACTAAGTGGAAACAGTTTGTTTAGTTTTACTTTCCGTGTGAGAATACTCTTGTGAGACCTGTCGACAAATGTAGTCGATGACTAACTCTTACAAGAACTTAGCTTCCGTTCAGGTAATTAAAGCGTTAGTTCCTGGTAATTAACCTTTCCAAAGACGTTTCCCACTAGTATGCTGGAAATCCGTAAAAGAAAAGGCACTAACTGGTGTCCAAGCGTTGCGATAAATGATTTACTCAATACAAAAATAATTTGAGTCAATAAGCCCTCACCTGTATACGTGGCTAATGTTTATTTGAAGAACTTTCCCCAACGACCTGTAAAATGCTGAAAAGAATCGTGTACCATCCTTTCCTATTAAGTGATCAGATAAGAGAATTACGTGATGCATGGTAAAGCAATTTCTTCTCTAAAGGTCTTTAACACAATTTACATACAATGTAATTCAGAGGAAGTGAAAGAAGCGTTTATGAGCGCTTTGATCATTTAACTTTCGTTGATGGAAACCAACATGTTTCGATATAGCGTTTAATCGTTGATATATCAGTGGTGGCTGTTAGCTGGTCAAAATCCCTAATATTTTCTTTTGAATATTCACTTTTTAGGGACAGTAAACTTAAGATTACATAATGACTGAATTACCTTGTGTTGAATCTCCCATAGAAATGGTGATGCTGTTTTTGCTTTCAGAATTACTCGAGAGTATAGAGCTTTCGAAGGAAGCGTCCAGATTTCCATAGCCTGCTTTCATATCTTTAACACAGAGATATGCTCTCAAACAGTGTTTAAAAGTTACAAGATAACTACATTTTATCGAAATCAGGAAAAAAAAAATATAAACCACGCAGTAGTTTGTACCTAAACTTGAATAATCAACAGCTATCATTGGGGTATCGTTGCTCACACGAGAGGCAATGCTTTCTCCGAGACGTTCAACCTCTCTGGCGATTGTAAAACCCAGGTTTGATTCAGAAGCGTTCTGGTTCACACCAATGTTCTCTAGATCTTCGAGCAGATCACTGGTCCTCTTTCCAGCAGTCTGTGTGAGTATGATTTTATAACGATGATTAGAAGTTTAGCATTTGAAATAGTTTGACAATCAAAACACCTCAACTCAGCAGATGTTTTACTTCTCTTTTTTAAAGATTTTAGTAAATTCCTAAAACGTACAAAATACAAAATATAATGACAAAAATAGGACGGGAAAATAAATACAAAGATACGAGAAGAAAAAAAAATGTGAGAGAAGATAGGAAACACGAAACACTCGCACGAAAGAGGTTTAAACAAAAACCAGAAAATAGAAATGCGTACTGTTATAAGGGCGTCTATATAGAGAAACGAATGAAATACTATATGTTATGATGTCGCGTTGTCCCACCTTCATCACCGAATGGAGAAAATCATCAGTAGGACTTGTATCGTTGTTCACACGAGACCTCAAATCTCTTAATAAAGAAACGGCACTGTCAACCTGCCATGTAATGGATGGTTATCAGTACATTTTCGTGAGGTGAATCACCGGTGGAGTAAATTGCTGATGCCTCTTACCCTTTGCGTATCCGAAAAAGCCGTGCAGTTTACGTAAACGGGGTACCTGGGATCTCCTTCGGTTTTACAATTATGTCCAGGAATATCTAGAAGGAAAGTAAACTTTTAATTGGCTGGATTATAAGTTGACTTAATTGAAAATTGTGTGCATGATTGTCTCTCTCATGGATCTCGCTTGTTGGTTAGCGTATACAATGTCAAATTATCATACCAATCCTTGTGACTTTTCCTTGGGGAGGGGAGGGGCAAGCTCTTCTTGTCTAGTGAGCCCAATCTTCTCAAGATCTCTTAATGTCGATATTTTGTAATAAATTCACAAATTTCTTTCAAATTGAGAGAGATTTGAACTCTGATGAAAATATTAGAAAATCAGTAATAAGATACTTGGATATTAGTGACATGTTTGTTTTATCTGAAGTGACGACCTTACAATAAAAGCCTATGAAAAGGAAGAGAGATCTCACCGTACAGGGGTACCTGTTTCACCAAATGTGTGCTATTGATTGGCAACACCATGTGGCCACTGGGTGTCTTCATGGCTACAAACATCCTCGAATTTCCTATGCCTTGCTTAAACAAAAGTTCTATGTAGTGGAGTCGTGACTCCTCTAGGTATTGAGGAGGAGATATTTGGCATTCTTCTAATTTGCTGCAAACGGGTTCAGTAAAGGTGTTATTTACATATGCAAACAAGAAATAGTGGAAATAGATAACAAAATAGAGCAAACTGCTTAGTGGGCTCTATCTAGTGGCGATAGAATTAATTCCAAATATATCATAGAAAATGCGTTCCGTTTATCTCACGTTAACTTTCCTCAGTGATCTTTAATTTGATCAACGGTGAAACGATCAGCTGCCTGTCTTCATAAGAATTCGTAGACATTCGCTTAGTTTTCTAAATTTAACTTAAGTCAAAGAATGCTATCAAACTCACTGATTCAACATACTTGACTTCGTATTCAACAGAACGAAACTGAACTCAAGGTTATGCGGAAGTGCAATGGATTCATTCTTACAAAGTTTTCCCTGTTTCGTTCTTGTTTACATTTAATATCATCATTCTTAGCTTTAAGTAGATGTGAGTACACAATTCGTCCTTTAATTGTGCTGGTCTGTTAGAAAAATAATATACATTTTCCTGGGAATCACTTCGAGATCGTCTGTTTATCTTTCGTGCTGTTATTTCCTTTTATAACCCACCCATTAATTTTGGCGCGATTTTATTGGTTACTTTACGTCACGTGGTGCAAAATCACAGGACAGTTATCACGCAATAACCCCCGTCCGCGTTGATATTTGTCCTCCGATTTTTTCCGTGAAAAAGAAACATATAGTCAACATAAGGGTTTCAACTTTTTCGTTCTCCTATTTACATGGAAGAAACTAAACTGGTTTTTTGTTTGTTTGTTTGCTTGCGTCAATCACGCGCATTCGCCATCAGATCACCACTGGCTTTTTTACTGTGTTTACGCGCAGTTTAATTGCGATGTGAAAATTAATGGGAGGGTTCTTGAATAAATATACCCCGTTCTGGCTTTCATATTTTCCCTCGAAGCTTCGCTTTTCGGCCAAATATTCATTTTTCGGACAATCTCTCAGCCGCGGACATTATCAGCCGACATGCCAGCCGCCCGAAGGGGTTTATTTACTAATTGGCGTACGTCTTCAAATTATCCCATCATTTTTCCATATGCTGAGACGCAAGTAGATGTTACTTGAATTATTTATTGAAATCACTTTAGTAGTTGCCCAGATAAATCTGATAAAAAAATTTTAAAATTAACTCCTAGCATTAAGCCACAAGAACACAATTTTCTAGCCCTAGATTTAGTGAAAAGAGAAAAGAAAGTGATACCTGCAACAGTTTATCTCGTTCACAATGGGCACATTTTTCGTTTGATCAATAATCTCTTTCTTATTTCTGGGATTGACGTCAATACTCAGATACAAGCGGCAGCTGTCGTCACAGAAGGTATAAAACGTGTAGTTGCCAGTCTCCTGTGCTAATAAATATGAGCGGTATCGAGCCCCATGGTTATTATATTTTTCGTTCGGCCTGTAATCCTTGAAGAGAGAAAAATAGCTGCTTTTATCGGCGTTTTTAAGGTAGCGAGGATTAGAAGTCAGGTCCTTGATTTCTGTGCCATTGATGTTCAGCCATTTTTCACCCAATACTACGTCAGGCCCTGGGGAAAATATACAGAATCATTTAAAAAAAAAAGATTATATTAGGATGGATAATTTCTTTATTTTTTATGAAGCATCTCAGCGTGTTGGAATCTTAGATCGTCGAATCTGATCGGTTAATCGCGCGTTTGAACCGGTCCGACTTTCTAGCTGAATACCGACTACGGTCAAAGTTTTTTTTCGCGCTCTTCATGGCAAAGCGGAAAAGCAAAGCAGCAGAAAGTTATTTTTTTAAAAGTTATTTACTGGACAAGGTCGGTTCAAGTGGGAAAAAATCGTGCCCTTGGTCTCGAGGATGGCCCTTGGTCTTCGGCCTCTTGCCGTACTCCAAACCTTGGGTGCGGTTTTATCCCTAAGGATCTCTCGCCAGGTAAATGACACGTTTCCTTTGTCAAGATCAAGAAAAATCTCCACGATTTCCACTCTTTGTTTCAAATACCTATGAGTTCACACTGAGTCAACTAAAGTGAACTGAACTGGAACTGCGAACAAATGAAAATACTAACTTATCTAACCACGGTAAAGGTCTCGTAAAAGTATTTCAAAAATCGATAAAAGGCTGCAAAAAAAGCATAAAATCTAGCTCAAGTCAGTACGTCCATTTTAGTAGTAGCTATAAGCAATCATTTTTTTTACAAAAAGAAGAAATAATGAAATATCTAATTATCGTTTACCATTAGATAACGCAAATAATATTTTCTGTTTAGTTTTGTCATTGTTGTATTATTTAACCCATGTGTTTAGTAATACGTAAATCATTTCTTATTTACAAAACGAGAAGAACGTCATACGATAAAAGGCACCTATATATCTAACTTGTTAGAAGCAACTCGGGAAATATTCAATTAAAAGATAAGACGTGACGGAGAACTTAATTAATTTAAGCTTGGCCTCTATAATTGAACTGAACATGAGTAACGGACTGGACAGCTCCATCCTCTGAAAATTAGATTTATTCCGAATCAAGAGTTTGTTGAGCGCAAATAAAAGAAGCGCGACATGGCCTCTTCTCTTTTTTTTTGTTTCCAAGATTAGTGCAAAGAGTGAGCTACAGACGATAATTTTCGAAATTTTTAATTTCCCAGATACTTTTTAATAGTGTAATCTTCATTACTCAGATATTGCTTAGCTTGACATGTTTGGATTTGAGCGACAGGAGATGATGGAAGATTCCGGTCTAATGACGTTTCAAACTTCAAGCCTACGTGAACCATCAGCGAAGTTTCTTTGAATAAATATTTAGATCAAGTAATAAGGTTCTGTACATGTCTTTCCTCTTCTTTTTCTTTTGGCTATGCACATCCTCTCGAAAGAAATCTGTAAGCACGGTATTGAAAAGTGAGGGTAGTTTCGACTTTTAGATGCAACAAAATTCGCGAATGATGCTGGCATTTTGAGAAGGTTATGTGATCTGTTCGCAAGCTGAAAGCTAAAACCAATTTATTATGAATTGAAATGGTTATCGTAATTCGCTTCCGATCTTGATCTTGTTTTCCAGAGTAGTAATTAAATCTCCTTAAGTCTTGAATGTCATCAAGCAAAACGGCGGATGAGTCATGTCGACAATTTAAAAAAAAAGAATGAAATTTTGCTGCTTTCTTGACCTGACAAGTGTCCTCTGAAAACAGCCTATTCATCTTCAAGAGAAGCTACCCAAAAATGTGCTCATTTTCTCATAATCTATAATCTGTAAAATTACGTTTATTAGTAAAATTTTACTGGAGCAAAATTGAAAATGCAGTTACACTTTTTTAGCGCGACCGTGAATAACAAATTAATTTCCGATAGATTTCCACTCATTTTATGCTTGCTTTCTTCTTCTTGAATGCTTTTCACCTTGGATTTACCAGAAACATACCATTCTGTTTAAAGTCACCAATATTCGGCCCGAACAATACAAAGAAAATGGTAATTTGACGAGCCTAGGATAGGGACAATGGCCGTCGTGGCAAAGTACAAAGAGGTGGCCTTAGAGAACGTGTATTTGCAGTTCCTAAATAAAGCACTTACCTTCTGCCAAAGACGAGAAAGGTAAAATTACCTATCAGAGATTACAAAAGAAAGTTAAGTCGATCTCCGCAGGATGAAGTAATGTCTTTGCTCATTTTGATACTTCTCATAAGTAAGATCTACTGACCTGAACCAAGAAAATGAAAAGGAAACTGCGGCTTTTCATTTTAACGCGTGGATTTTAGCTCTAAATGTCATTTCAAGTATTTTTTATCATCGATACATAGTTTTTCAGCAATAGGAAAGGGGAAAGATTCGTTCTCCGTTGTCTTGTTTTTCCATCTGCCTGTTAGAGTTTTTAGATATTTGTATTAAGCGTGCGCCAATCTGCCCATCAGCCAATCCGACCACTGCAAATGTGACAAGGTGTTGGCTTTTTATCAGCGAAGCAAGTATTGTGCTAATGAACTATCCTTTACGGCTCTCTTGTCGCATGTTGATTTGCTTTTTAACTTCTCTACTTTTGAGACCTGCAATGCCGCTACTTTTAGAAGGTAGATCTGAAATATTAGTGGCGGATACTTTTTTGTGATCGGTAATGGTCTTCAGCGCTCAGAAGAAAAAGGCTGACTGTCGGCTTCATTATTCTTAGGAGTTTTGTCACGAGTAAAGTTATAGAAAAAAATAAATAAAGCTGTTTTGACTTGTTCCTATTGACTTACAATGACAGATTGTCAGAGAAAAGACTTCTTAGACCCTTTGTCTTGGAATGGCAAGCCGCTGGAATCGTAGAAAAGACTAGATTCAGAGACGACAATAACAATATGCCTCCAACTTGAGATAAATAAAAGGGAACACAAAACTTAAGCTCAAAATTGCAGCTCGAAAATTACAATCGCATGACAACATCTTACTGATTTTGTGTATTTTCTAACAAATGTAGTAATGTGTTGTGTAATCACTTATTCTTGACGTTTTTCTAACGAAATTCATACCGATGAACGTGTTTTGCATGACTTCTCATCTGACTTCCAAATTTAAGACACAAAGAGGGGCTGATAATCCCTTGCAAGATGTAGTGGGAATATTGTAAAGTATAATGGATATAGATTACCCTTAGATACCGTTTAGTTTGACAGATTCAACGAAATGTTGTGCAAAGTAAATATTTCTACTAGCTCTTTTTTTTATAATTTTCTTGCTCATTTTTTATCATTGTAGTTGTTTAAAATTTCAAAATGTTTTTGTCAAAATCATCTTGAGGTTGGTCAAACTCTTTGTCGGCTCTCCATAGCATTGCATGCACAGTCTTTAAGTCAGCTTAGTACAGTGCTCATGACTAAATTGATTGCATTGTTTTAACGTGGTATGATTATGGTACAGATTCTAATATCCGATGAGATATATCAGTCTCAAATCCTCTTTAAATGGAGGAAAATTATTATCTTATAGCCTCTTACCATTCTTATAGCCGGCTCTTACCATTGCGCACCTTATATACCAAGAACTGTTGACTATAAACACGAAAGTGCAAAAGAATAAAAAATTCAAACTGTAGAGGATATTAAGCCGTTTTAACATAGGCAGACTACTTGAATGGTACCAAATATGATTTATTCATAATCTTAACTAAGCCAAACCTAGACGAGAATGTCGATTGTTACGTAACATAAACCTCGGATGGAGATGTATATTCTACCAGTCTGGAAACCTGTGGCTAAATACGGTCATCATGATCCAGTCACACTCTTCCTTAAATCGTGAAATTCGGAATTCGGAAGGGAAGCTGGGAAAGCTTTTTGAAATAATTTATAGTTGATAATAAGAAACAATGGCGATTCTCTTTTGATTTTCTTTTGGACATTGATGCGCAACACTTACATGTTCTTTTCCGCCAAAGCTTGGGTTGACTGTGGCTGAAGGAACTGATTTCCTAAACGGCTGAAGTCCATATCCAAATATTTTTTGTTTTATTTTTCCTTTCTTGGGATGCTCATGTGTTCACAGTTACAGATTCAACAATATGAAGACCCGTGTTTACAGTACATGAATAAATCCGGTCTTACAAGCTGCAATCCCCCAAATATCATTTGATAAGTTCATTTCGAGAAGGTATGAAATCTAACGTGGTAAGGTAAAGATCAATTAAGTAAAGGTCTCAAATATATAAGCGGTATAGTTCACACTACTTGTAACTTATATGTGATACCTACGCTGTTGTTGGCTTCCGTACTCATGTGGCAATATTTTGAAGGGACGATCGCAAATTGTTATGGATACTCCAGTACTGAAAATTATGCTTCAACCTAAAAAATCTTGTCCATTTACTCCCCTTTCTTTTGAGTAGAAGATGAAAGAAACGAAATCATCTTCACTATCGAAAAATAATTGATCTTGTTAGTTGAGCTCTCCGCTATTTATGCAGAACTCGTGCACGTCGGCTTGTACGTCATTATCCATCCAACCCCTTAAATTCCACTCGTAAAGGAGGCATCCTTGGGTAATATCCCCTTCTTGCTCTTAGTAACAAAGGATAAACAATAAAGGAAACAGCCCCCCCCCCTCAAGAGACACCTAGAATTGAGTAAAGTTATGTTTCGCACCAACGCGTGAGCGAGACGAAGAGGGGGATAAAATAAAATCAGTAAAGTCAATCAGTTAATTTTTAATACGCGCTCGTGCCATTGCAAGAAACTTGGTGCCAGACAAGTAGTTAAGAAACCGACAGTTGTGAGGGAGGGGGGGGGGCAGACCTCCTGGGCCCTTCCCCTAGGAATGATTTCGTAACATCTCATCAAATCAGTCAGTTCTTAGATAAATTGTATAATCTATTTTTACCTGCGGGTAATTTCACTTCGCAAATGAATCCTTTGTACGTTTCGCAACTCAGGTCATTATACTTCCCGTAAGTTGTTGATGGGTATTCCTTAGCAATGACCACACACTTTCCATCACCTGATGGCTCCCTCGGCTGCCAAAGTAAATTTGACTCCGTCGCTGGCTCTCCATTTATCCATGTCCAATTTTGACCTGTAAAATGCAAGCCGATATACCACTCATCTTGTCGGGGACAAGAAAGATTTCGAATTTCTTGGGAAATGAACTCCCATTTTCTTGTGGTCTCCAAGGTAACAAGATACCCTCCATTTTCCTTGCATCTTTCCTGACCACCGTCCCAAGTGGTAGTATCGTTGTAGAAGATGAACTCGACGTTGTCTTGAACAGCTATTAAGCAAGCAAACGCACACCTTTAACTCTTACTCTCAGGTTCACCATACTGAGATTCTTGGTAACATTACTCAGATCTCAACAATGATCTTGGCTAAATTTTATTACGCAACTTGCAACATAAAGAAAAAAACAACAACTTTATAAATACGAAATATTTCGATTCTCTCAGTTACTATGTGCGGGTAAAATCGGTGTGGAGACGCTTTCATCGAAACAGGCAACGTAAATGAATGCGAATAAGGCTAACTGAGTGAAATAAAATGGATGAAACTATTTTCGATACGTTGAACGAATTTGGTATGAAGAATTATCAACACAAATTAACAAAATTGGACTTGTTTTTAGTAAACATACACCTGTCGAACAAGCCCTAACTTGATTAAAATGTGAAACTTAAGCCGCAGACTTACTTACGATACCCACCCCTTTGTCAGCAATTATAACATCACGTCAATTTATTCTGTAAGAGCGTGAGAGAATACGAGGCAATATCTGAAGCCGGACTTTCGAACATATAAGGAATGTCATAAATCTGAACCGGTTTTTATCCTAGTTGTAGCTTGCAAACTCGACATATTTTTCCATGCCGCATGAAACTTGATATTTACTTTCACAGTAGACGGACGCTTCTCAGAAACATTTAAGGAAGTAAGAAAACCCTGGAAGTAAGAAACCCTAGCACGTCCTTGTGGAAGTTTTTTTGTTCAGCTTTTGTGGTTTATCTTCCTTTAAGTATTTTTACTTCACCTTCCTTAAAAATTTGAAGACTTTGTGTCATATCTAGATGTTGATACCTTGATTTTTACTTTGATATAAGACCGGGAACGACACTGGTTGAAACAAAATAGTTAAGTATGAGACAAGTTATCATTCCTGTTTGTTAACTCTTTTGGTTTAGTTGTTTTCAACCTTGTCACTTTTTGTCAGTTGTATTTGTAAGTGTTTTAAGAGAAACTCGCTGGACCTACAGTGTGTGACTTGTGCCGAAAACGAAACACGTCACATGAGCGAGCGGAATTCCAAATACAGCTTTGAGGAGTAATAAACCCTAACACCGGTATACCTGTTTTATTTTTTATTTGCAAACAAATATAGTTCTAGAAGTTGAACCCCAAACTATTTTGTGTTGCTCTTTAGACGAAGATTACAGACCTTGAGGAATAATTGGGTTAAATTAAGTCTTTTTTTGAGAGAAAATATTTAATTCAGACTAACTTAAGTTTGTCTTAAAAATATATTTGAATTATCTTGAGACGATGAAATCAATAAGAGGCGACGTTAGTTTTGGGGATCATATCTGAAAAGTCGATATTGATGATCGCAAGTGACACTTATTTCTAAATGACCTTACCTGAATGAGAATCTAATCCTTGGACACCAAAGGTAATCTATACACGAAGAAGAATATTTTGCGAAAAAATTATAAGGAAAAAATGTATGGCTTTTCTATTTTTTAGGACAATCTGAAAAAGCATAGCATTATGATTAGTTTAAATAGATACTTACCACAAATAAATTGCAAAGACCACCAATGAACAATTTCCTCAAAATTTTTTCGTCATTCATATTCCTCTTCTTTTTTTTAGAAGACATATCACATTGAAAATGATTGTTGCTGCTGAAGTTTACGTTCGTATTGGTAGGATTATACAAACTGTTACCGATTGCAACTGTTCAAATAGTTATCTTTTTAGGTGTTAAGTGCGAATAGTGCAACAATTATTCATTTTCCTGTTGAAAGAACAAAGGTATTGGATTTACTTTGTGTAGAAAGGAAAGAAGTGTTTGTTTATGTACCATGAATAGTGGCCAATCGGAATTGCGGCGGCTGACAGTTTCTCACTTTTGTTTGCACTGATGTGTTCAATTTTTTTTTAATTAAAATGATTGCGTTCCTATGTTTAAGTCATCAAGCACAAATTATGGCAGATGGAACTTTTTCCTTTTTTCTTTTCTTTTTTTTTTTTCATTTACTTTAAAACTCAGAGCTATTTTGATGAAAATATATGAAGATGGGCATTTTATTTAAAAAATTAAACTGTAAAGACATTTCCCTTTGTTACGTGCCTGGGATTTCGGTTGTCACATAACTTTCAATTTATGCTATCGTAATGGACTCCACTGTCATTTATCCTTCCTATTTGTTTCAAAGACGGCGTAACTCGTTATCAAAACAAACAGTTGAACAGAGTTGATTGGAAACTCAGCCATTTTGATTAAATTTCTCGCTCACTTCTTGGTTTATCACTATCTTTAACAAGCAGAGTTCTTTCCTCGTCTTAAAATTGACGTGTCAGATGTCAATTTCGATAGTCGCGACAAAAATCGTCGACAAAGTGGTATTCATGAAGTTTTTATTTGCGGCTTAGGCTATTTATGAACCCTCTTGCCTCGAGCTATCAAGCGTTATCTTTGATAACAGCCGTTTGCTGGTACGTGTAGCTTGGACTAGTTTACTCCTGCCCTTACTTCCTTACAACTTACTTCTTTGTGCGGTCAATTTCGTTTAAACAAAACTCAGGCGCGCAAATAACTCAAAACAAAGTCACACTTTCGCTTGGTAGTTTACTTTATCTTTGTCTGTTTGGGGAAGGGATCTTATGTTCAACTCTAATTTGTAACTGTTTAGAATCCTACAAGTAAAAACATCGTCAGTAAGTTTCGAGATGACATTAGCTTAGAAACAACGCTCGAGTATTACCTCCATGTCTCTATCTTATGAAAATAATATCGTTGAGATATTTTCTTTCTGGTAATGAAGCAGTAACAAAGGGGCAATTGGAGGTAGATTCTAAACCTGGAGAAGTTGAAATTTTACCATCATCGAATGACAGGATCAAGTAGTTGTTGTTGTTGTTTTTTTTTTTTTATCAGGCAATATGTTTTATACCAGACAATATCATTTGCAATTATGTTTACAATTCCAACTCAGTGTAAAGCGCCTCGATACGAAGTAAACCAATATTTTCCTCAACGCATTGTCCTCTTAACACTTCCAATAGGTGGAAAAAAGTTTCCTGGCAGTATGCAGGACGCGTGTCAAACATGAACTTCGTACTGGGCCTTGCTCACCACAGAGTCTCTGTGGCTCAGTGGTAGAGAATCAAAGCGAGGAATTCGAAGGTCTGAGGTTGGATTCCTCATGGGGATTCAGAAGTTTTTCTTTGTCCCACGTTCGTGACCAGACGAAAAACATCTTCTATGTTTCCACGTGTATTTAGTTTAATTTGAAAAATGCCCTGACCGACCGTGAAAATTTTAAGTCTCCTTTACATTTACAATCTGACAAACTGTTCACTACAGAAAGGATTGAACGAACCAATGAAACGCCAGTAAAACAATACAATAGGAGCGCATGACAAGTAAACGATCAGACGATAGCTAGGAGGGGGCAAGCACTCTTCAACAGTGGGATAGAGGGTGCATGAATGATTTACAGGATTTATGTTCAGTAGAATACGAATGCGAATTTTATATTTTTATAACTGGCAAAGACCTTCATGGGTGAAAAAGATGAGCGAAGGACGATATCTCCTGTACATTGAATGTACCAAACCCAAGAGTAAGATTGATCGCGTAGTTTGATATTTTGGTCGAGTGTAAGACTGTTGTCAGTAGTGTAGGCTGACGTTTTGACAACCTAAGTGGAGGTCATCATCAAAGTCGATTGTAGACTTTTTGTCAGTCGAGTGTTATAAGGCCGGTTGGTGTAAACTGATTAATCAGTTTTTTGGTAATTTTATTGGCTGCTCAACTGGCGTAATTGAAACAAGCTTTCAGAGTTCATGTACTGATAATCATGACACTTGTAACTCAGTGACTTGGTTCTTGAGCGTCTAATTCGTGCGTGAAGTATTACAAACTTACATCAATAACCTGCCTACCAGGAATGCTTTTATAGAAAGCTGTAAAACGTTTTTGTTCAGCGCAAATTTCCACGAACATTGGTATGAAATGTGGTGTCTGTAGTGGTGTCTGTAGTGGTGTCATTGCGGGCCTATGTTTACGTAAACATCCGGGCAATCGCCCATGTGCTTTGAAAAGGGAAAATCGTCGCGTTCATTTCAAAATGTTTTGTTGCCGTGTATTGTCGTTGTTTGTAAACCCTAAGCTCGAACAGTCGGAGAGTTTTCATTTCATTTGTTTATGTTGTAATTTCGTTTGTTGTAAGATTTTTTCCCTACAGTCGATTTTCACGTCAATCGAAATAAGTTTTTATTTCGTTCAAAGGGGAACGCGTGCGCTCTGCCATTAGGAAACAAATTAAACGATTTTGAGGGCGAACATGTTATGGTGGGGGCGAAATTGTTTTATTTGATGAGCCACAATCGTTGAAGTGGGGCGAAATTGCAAATGCATGGGAGAAACCTTCAGATACCTCGTTCGTCTAATGAATTCGTAGTTGTTTATGGAAAAAAGATGGTAAAAGTATTTGTTTTCGTGGAATGAGCTCGCCGTCGGGATGAATATTAGTTGCGTTCGTCTCGCTTGAGTTCAGATAGTCTGGCCTTGTGTGATGTTGGGTTGTTGGAAGACTGGTCTAGTAATCATCCTGTATGCGTTGGTTCCCTGAAAACTGTCCTCGGCGTGTTCTCATCGCTGCTTGTTAGGTAGTCTAGAGAGGAAGATTGCTGTCCTCTTCGGCTTCTCTGGTGAATAATAAGTCGGCGTTTTCTTTGTTGAAGTGGTCACAGAATGCGCCGATTTAACCTTCGCGCCTGAGGTAAAAAGCGGTATCGTTTGTCGGCAAGTAAGGATGGCGGGATATCTCTTATAAATAAAATCCTTAAAATACAACCACAAAACCTCGGAGATTTTATTTTATTTCAAGATCAATAAAATAAACCAAAGGATAACACAAAGAAAACCTTGAAAAACCATGCCCCTTTCACGTCCATTGAAACATGCAAGCCTTTCAAATGTGCTGTTATTTCTTACTTTTGGTCCTCCTATAGTTTTGTAGACGACAATATTTCACGGTATTGTCATCTTACTTTTGCCGCCTGTGATTGGCAAAGTATTAGAAATTAGCACGGCTCTAAACTGTTTACTCCACGTAACCTTCAAAATTGAGCGGTATCGCTTCCGTTTCACTAAACGTAAAGGAAGCCAAGACCTTTTGATCAGTTTATCATAATTTCGATGTAATAAAATCAAAGAAAAAGGAAAACTGAGGTAATTTTTTTCGTTGTACGGGTGTCTTAGTCAATCGTAAAGTAGTTTGGGGGAATAAAAAAACTCCCAACTCCAATAGAAAAAAAGAACACTAATAAAGATCAAAATGGATATTACACTTCTAATTATCATTTACTGTGCTATTGAGTGTTTGCAATCCACCATTAATTCAGAAGTGAACACGATTATCTCCCATATTCACGGTTGGTCTTGTAATACACCGAATCCAAATATGGCGTCCAGTTTGAATTGCCATTGCTCTGGACTGACTAGCCTCGTCTTCATGTGGAAACACAAAAGGATTATTACATGTGTGAGGGGCTAGTCAGTCCAGAACAATGACAATTCAAATTGGACGCCAAATTTGCATTCGGTGTATGCTCTATGTACTCTGTGTTTTCACAGTTCAACTGCCGTCTGCTTCCACCATCTTACATGTTTCGCAGTCAAATGACTTTCATAATTTGGAAAAATTTTCAGTTTATAGATTACCTTAGCGGATGAGCTGGCCTGATTTCTGATCATTGGAAACAAACGCGCTCCTCATCTAAATAAACGAGATTAAATTTGGTCTTATTTGTCGAACGATCAGATTTGTTCAACTCGCACCTCAATATCCTAAATAAATCTCTAAGCAGCGTCTGACAACATCCAAGCTGGATACTACATGATTCAGTAAGCTTACCATAAATCGATTTGGGGTGCATTTTTCTCTCTTCAGATTCACTCATTTTCGAGATTTAATGCCATATATTTGCTCCAAAACGTTGTACTCGAGAAACTGTTGTCTTGGATACCTTATGGGGAGAGAGAGGGAGGGAGAGAGAGGGAGAGAGAATTTAAATTTTGATCAGGTCTAAACTGGTTTGTTTACATTTTCATTTATCCCGTAATGGCTGGATCGCGATACAAAACTAATTCCTGACCAGCATGATATTGACCGCGTTCAGAGAAAATATATTTATCCCAACTAGCCGCCAACATTATGCCGGATTAGCGTCTCGAAATCGCAATTAGTTTGTATAAAAATGCAATATGCCTTTATTGCAGGCGCTATCAGTTGTTGGTGTGAAAATAAAAAAAATATATGCAAAAAGTTAATTCTGACTTGATCAAAACTTAGTGTGTGCATTGAACACGGTAAAAAAAACAAACTGATTTAAGATTAAGAGCGTGTTTGTCATAGCGATGTCATACATAGACAACGAGTAGTCCCTCCTTTTCGGCGAAGTCCGTCGTACGAGTCAAAAACAAAGTTGGTAAAAAAAATTGATGTTAGCGTGCCACGGGGAGCACTTGGAGTGACGTCAATACGCTGCGGGAGCTCCATGAGTGAGCGCCTGACTCTGATTTTTTTTGACTCGCGCAACGGACTTCGCAGAAAAGGAAGGACTGCTCGTTGTCTATGTAATGCAGCGATACACCTCATGTTCTTGATCCTTCATAAGC